AGTCCACAGAATGACCTTGATAAATATTTAGTTGCTGGTGCTTGTTCAATTAAAAATTATGTTTCCTAACCAAAGTGACTCCACTGGGGTGCACACTTCCCTGCAGAGAAGTCTCAATGGTTCGTGAAAAATACACCAGTAGTAATTATAAAGGTGATCATTACATAGCTCTTTCCCACGGATGCTGTTTGCCAGCTGGCTAATAGGAAAGGGTGGTTTGTTTGTGCATCTCTGTTATAGAGCCTATTTACATATTAATGATGGGAAGCTTCTAGAGCTCTTAACCCCTGAATCGTCTGCAAATCAATGCCTTTATGTGTTTTAAAGCACTCGTTATGTACCTGCTCCATTAAGGTGTGGACATTCCCCACTGATTTGATGCAAATTGAAGGTGTGACTGCACGCTAGCACTAAGCCAATAAAGAATTCTGCAGCTCACCATGCAATGTGTAACAAGGGCCATATATTGGAAAGCATGGGTATATGAGAAGGAGGGTAGGTGAACATGAGGAAAACACTGATCTAAATCATTGTGGTAAATTGTATGACTATTTAGTGCCTTTTAGTAAGTCACTATTTAATCTTGCTGCTCTTAAATGCCTTTTTTTCATTGTGGTTTGTGTGTGGTACACTGACTAAACACAGAGTATTACAGGAAATTATTTTTTCTTACTACTTCTACCATGTCCTTGCTTCTGAGAGTTCAATGGAGTAGAAAAGGATGCTGTGTCCTCTATAATATTGAAAACTATGCCTAATTTTTCTTATGTTGGCACTGCTGTTACCCTTGTTCTTCTCCAAGAGATGATTATGATGGATGGTGTTATAGTTATACTGATATGAAAAGTATGAACTAACAATAATGTAGAAGTGCAGCCCACTAGTTCATATGTGTTTTGAAAAACCTAGAGAAGAAGACACAATGAATCACCTCTACTGAAAATTCAGATAGAAAACAGTAGGCTATTAGGGAAAGCCATCCCATAGTACTCTGTTGTAAATTAAGCTGTCTCTTTGGTTCAAAAATATACCCAATGCTGGTTGAGATTAATTGATTTGATTTATTTTATTTTTCAGAGAAATGAGAATAAAGTAACCGCAAATAAAACAGGAGCCCTTGTATCCACACCATAATAAAAACTAGGATGCAAAATACACAGCCCATATGCAAACAGACCAGTGCAGTCACATGGTAATGCTTACTATGATCTAAATATAACATGTCCTGGAAACTAATACATCTGGAAGCTGCCTGGGAAGACTTAGTGCAGTAGGAATGTCTGTTTAGCTAGTACAAGATTCCAATGTGCTGTGGGGGCCAGAATTGGAAGAAAGCTGTTTTTTGGTCCCAGCCTTCCCACTGCACTGAAGCCAGTGAGGATCACTCACTAGGGTTACCATATTTCCAGGTCCAAAAAAAAGGACACCTGCCACCAGGGAGATGTGGCCGGGGGCGGGGGGGG